AAAAATACTTGGTCTAACGTGGGACCCCGCTAATGATATGTTTATATTTAAAATAAATTTAAACATTTACCCGGAAAGTGATTTAACTAAAAGGAAAATATTATCTGAGGTAGCCAGTATTTATGATCCGCTTGGTCTTTTAGGACCTGTAATAATAAGAGCCAAACTCTTCATTCAAAGTTTATGGAACATAAAATTAGCATGGGATGAAGTATTAACTGATAATATAAGTGAAGACTGGTTAAATTATCGCAAGAGCTTGTTAACTTTGAATAATTTAAAAGTGCCGCGAAAAATAACGTGTGAAAAAGATATTTCGTCGATAGAAATACACGGTTTTTCGGACGCATCAGAAACGATAGATGGTAAACATAGTTTAAGGCTTATTTGTGGGAAATCAAAAGTAGCTCCATTAAAAGTAATTTCTATACCCAGATTAGAACTATGCGCAGCGTTATTACTCGCACGGTTATCTTATAATGTTATGGAAAAGTTAAAATTAAATATTATAAAAAAGTACTTTTGGACGGACTCAAATATAGTTTTGGCGTGGATATCTTCTCCATCCACAAATTGGAAGACATTCGTTGCTCACCGAGTTGGTGAAATTTAGAATTTATCTTGTCCATCAGAATGGGCTCATGTACGGTCTCAGGATAATCCAGCCGACTTGCTTTCTAGAGGGTGTGAAACGAAGTTGATGAATGAGATGCAGTTATGGTGGCAAGGGCCGTCTTGGTTGAGTAAGGATAAAACGGAATGGCCAAGTCAAAATAATGCAGTATTAGAAATTTCAAGCAATATGTTGGAAAGAAAAAGTACAACTAAATTTATTGGTAATGTAATAGAAGAAACTAATTTGTTAGACAAATTTTCATCTTTAAATAAAATTTTACGTATTATGGCTTATTGTTTAAGATTTGTAGATATTAAAGTACATAAAAAATTGTTTAAAACAAGTGTTATAAATGCAGATGAATTAAATAGGGCAAATATTAATTTAATACGTATTGTGCAAAATAATTATTTTGCCAAAGAAATTAGTTGTTTGATAAACGGTAAAGAGGTGTCAAAGAAAAGTAAATTGTTACGATTAAGACCGTTTTTAGACGATAAACATTTAATTAGAGTTGGTGGTAGACTGAAAAATGCATTGTCTATTGATGAATGTCAACGTCATCCTATAGTGTTACCTGGTGATAAGTGTAAATACACGCGTTTATTATTTCTACGCGAACATGAACGTTTAATGCACGGTGGCCCGCAGGCAATGTTATCTACTATTAGATTAAATTATTGGCCATTAAACGCACGTAGGACAGCAAAAGGCGTATTGTATCATTGTATTAAATGTTTCCGATATAGACCGGTTGTAGTACAACCCATTATGGGCGATCTACCTAGTAGTCGTTTTGAGCAGGGAAGAACCTTTTTAATAAGTGGTTGTGATTTTGCCGGTCCGCTGATGATAAAGGAGAGTCTTAGAAAAAGGGCATGTATATTAAAATGTTACGCTTGTATATTTATTTGTTTTTCAACAAAAGCAGTTCATATTGAATTAGTATCTGACTTAAGTACAAAGTCTTTTTTAAATGCATTAGATAGATTTTTTAATAGACGCGGGATTGCAAAAATCTTATACAGCGATAATGCTACAAATTTCGTAGGAGCTAATAAATATTTAAAAGAAGTTTACGATTTATTTCAATCTGAAGAGCACAAAAATCAGCTGATTAAGCATGTTGCGGAAAAAGGCGTGGAATGGCGATTTATTCCTGCGCGCTCGCCTCATTTTGGGGGTTTGTGGGAGTCCGCTGTGAAGTCAATGAAAACTTTAATTTTTAAGGTGTTAGGGGAGGCATTTTTAACATACGAGGAATTAAATACTATTTTAATAAGGGCAGAAGCTTGCTTAAATTCTCGACCATTAACTACTCTTTCCCCGGATCTATCTGATCCTTTATTCCTCACGCCAGCACATTTTTTAATTGGAGAGTCGCTTATGTCCGTGCCAGAAGCGGACGAAACCGGTATTCAAACCAATCGGTTAGATCGATGGCGTCGTGTGCGACATTTTTCCCAAATGTTGTGGAAGAGATGGAGACACGAATATTTAGCTCAATTACAGGAAAGGGTGAAGTGGTCCACTGCCAAGGGTCCTAATATTAACGTTGGCACTATAGTTTTGTTACGCGATGAAAATGTAGCGTCATTGAATTGGAAGTTGGGTCGCGTACTAGCGGTACAGCATGGTAAAGATGGTGTTATACGTTCTGCGACAATTAAGACTACAAACGGTGAAACTAATAGAGCTGTACGACAATTATGTCCGTTACCTTTTGAGGGCAATCAAACAATGAGTTAAATTGCTTCAATGATTCATACTGTTAAAATTAAACATTTTTTGATTATTTATTTGTTAATTTATTTATATTTATTTTGTATAGATAAATTATGAGAGTCCAATTGTGTGTTTTTTCGATGGTTATTGTCGAATATTAATTGTTAAATCTATTTGATAAGTTTTATTCCTTTGGTTTATTTATAGTATTTTGTAATATTTTGTAATATTTTGTTTTTTTTTTTTGTTTATTTGATTTGTTTAATAATCTTTAATTTAAAACAGTGTTTTAAGGCGCCCGCTATGTTAAGTCCTATGTAACTACTATCGTTATCAACATGTACGTGGACGGTCGTTGACCACCACTTTTAAGTAAGTCAGTCGGCGACGTGCCTTCTTAGCATAGAGTTGTAATTTAAACGAATAAAAGTTAATAAGTTCAAAGTGTTACTTAAAATTTAAATATAACTAAAAACCAAAATTCTGTTCAACCAGAAAAAAGACATACAGTCCACAACAATCTGAAAATTATATATTGTGTTACAAACTTATATTACATACATTTGTTAGTATAAATTCAAAAATAAGTTGGTCATCATTGTTTAAATCAAACATCTCAAATAAAAGTAAATCGAGTATGGTGTCAACTTTTAAAATAAATTTAAGTGGACATTAAAAAAAATAATTATACTAGATGAAAAACCTTGGAGAGTATTTTATTAAAAATAATATTTTTATAGCATTATTTTTTGAAATTGCTATCAACCTATTCTTTATTTGTATCCCCTATAGGAAACAAATAAAGAATATACTAACGGTAAAAAATATCGAGACTTTAAATGATATTATATTGAAGTCGCTTCAAGTCGATGTGAAAGTAGAGTAAAAATGAAATAAAACTAACAATGCGTTACTAACGTTAGCGTCATCAACTTGAAAATGTATATATGATTCAGACTAATGCAGCTATTTAATTCAAGTCATTCAAAGTATCTCCATAGAATAGATAAGATAATAATAGACAATCTCGGGAATTGAAGATAAAGAATTAATGTGTATAGCTGAAAAAATATTATCTTTACAGTGAAGTGTTTTTTTTTTCTATGTCTGTTACTACATATTCTCAGCTCCCGCCGAACCGCTTTCTATCAACGATACGTCAATAGATTACAAATAGTATCTAGTCGAAGAGATTACCCTTTAAAATAAAAATAAAAAACACTTGTTTTGTGTAAATAAAGAAAATTCTCAAAAAAAATTACAATTCTAAAACGGATATTTCCAATATTATTAAAAATTTTTTTTTTTTAAAGAATTCCATAGCTTTTTGAAAAAAGTACAATACATAATAAAGCTTATGTAATATATTTTAATTTGAAAAAAAAAATTTGTCCTAACAACTTATGTTCGTTTAAAAACAGGTATCAAAGTTAAAGAAAAAAGTATGACTTTGTATAAAAAGTGGTAAATTCAAGAAAATTTCATAAATTATTATTATATTAATAGATTAAAACACTAAAAATTAAAATATAATTAGGAAATAGAAGTTGTTGTTACTTTTGGAATAATCCACCAATTTCTTAAAATTAAACACTAACTATAGATGTCATCTATACATGAAACAACATTGCACTACTATAATGTCCCTACTGTGTACCGTATAGTTTATATATTTTTATTGTCATATTGATCGTTTTGATCATTATGATTTATATATAAACTAATATATGTAATACAATTTTTAGATAATTTAATGACAAATAACTTTTATATGAAACATATATTCCTAAGATAATCGGTTGATTCAAAATTATCATAAATTAAAAAAAATATTTATTTTAAAGCTAAAATAAGTTTGTTTCGGTGAATATAGTAGTAAATTAATTGATAGCTAATTGTATAAAAATCAAAATTTGATAATGGTAATAGATAAGAGAATAAAAAATGAGAGATCGGTATCTAAAAACCAGTTTGGATTTATGCCTAGTTGTGAAACAACTAATAGAGCTAAACTTCTCTAGTATGAGTAAGGAGTGCAACAAGGTTCTGCTTTAAGCTCTTACTTATTCTCTATAGTGATAGATGAAATTACTAGAGAAATGCAAGGAGAGGTGCTGTGTTGCATATATAGATGTAGGTATATGTGTAGCGTGTTGCATATTATCGTGGATAATATGAGAGGAAATAGACTTAGATGGTTTGGTCATGTTATGAGAAGAGAAGAATCGGAAGCCGAAAGAACAGTTATAGAAATGAATGTTAAAAGAAGAAGAGGTAGAGGAAGACCAAAAAAAGAGATTTAAGGATGCTATTGAATGCGATATGAGGACAGCTGATGTGAGCGTAGGTGATGTGGGAGATCGTGTCAAGTGGAAGTTTGGGATAAGGGTGGCCGAACCCAAGTAGTCGGGATTACGGTGAGGAAGAAGAAGAAAATGAAGAATTGTATAAAAATCACTTTTATCATTAGTTATACATTTTAAGAAATATTTTCTTAAAATACTTTTTGGAGTATGAATTTTTTATTTTGAATTTTATTGCCATTCTACATGGTAGTAGCCTTAATGAATTACACTGTATATAAACATAACATAATATAATATAAATAATATTTTCTAATAAATAATAATTTAACTAATTCACTCTGATTTGTGTACAGAATTACACCTCCTATAGACCAAACTATTAATCAAGAAGTTGGTATCACGTCACTCAATACTCTACTTAGAGAAGGTTGTTGGAGTTCATTTAAGCACATAGAAATAGAATATAACGATTTGAAAATAAGTGCTGAACGTGTTTTCAGAGACCCCGTTACAGATCATAATTTTCATCTAAAAAAAAATTACTTCGCACTAATGGTGAGATGCAGATTTTTGGAAGTGCTTCTATTTTACAATTCAACATTATCTGTCTTAAAAGAAATGTGTGAAATTAAAAAATTTAATCTAAACCAAATTAGCTATGTGAATTGTGTAACATGTCTTTTTAGCGTTATTAATGATACAGTGAAAATGTTTTATTTCATGCTGACAATTTTAGAAAAATTGGAACTATCAGCAATTTGGCCAACCATTTCATCATATTCTAATTTAATATCAACTCATAGTTTGATATATAAATACGTAATTGATCTTAAAGCTAATAATGTAGTACGAGATATATTTGTAAACAAATCTGGAGTACTTATTGATACATTAGCTGATGATTACGTTAAAAGTTTTCAAAAAGCAAGACATGACTTTAGAAAAGTGCTACAGGATTTTAAAACTCCAAAAAAAAATCACTGTTATTCAAAAGGCCTAATTGCGACTAAGGATTATCTGAAAGATATATTTCGTAATAATTCATCTAGTGTAAAGGAAACATTATCATGTGATACTTATGTCTCCAACTATGAACAAGTTTCAAAATATTTAAATTACTTTTGTGATTATTTTATTAAAACTGATTACATAGATATGGGTTTTTATAAAATACATCAAAATTATTTTTGGAAATGGGAATAATCAAATGTTGTTAATCAAAGTGAAATGTAGTATTTTAAGTAATCAAAATACATGTTTTATGTTTAATTTCTCGTGTATAAAGTAGGACCTCTTCTATTAAATTATCTAAATATAATATTAAGTTATTTCTTCAGAAAACTCAAAATTAATAAATTGATTTACTTTTAACTATTGTATCGTCATATATTCATTTGATGAACAAATAATCGTTTATCTATAATCACCTTGAAAATGTCTAAAATCATAAAATATTTTATTGATTTTTGTCGTCAATTAAATTTGTCTATATAAAGATATAGAAAAATATGATTTTTGTATTGCTGGTTGTTATATTTATAGTGTTATGTTTTTAGTTGTACTTTTAATTGTTATAGAGGTGGGCAAGAACTGCTCATGTACTCAGACCTACAAGTCTAAGTCTTTTGTGCGCTCTTTCTACCGAACTATATTAATTCAGTTTCTTGATGCGGTGAATTTTATGTCAAATATTTCTTTATGGGTTGAAACTGATGTTATAGGACGGTCAATTACCCCCAACATTTCTGCACATTGACTCCCTCTTGTGTTGCACACATAAATGTGAGTTGATATTGCTCTACCGCCTATTGTCAGCAAAATTTCACATTTTTGCAATTGACCAACACAAAATTTCTTTTTCACCTACTCATTGCGTGTTTAAGCTAATTGATAGTGTATCAGAAGATAATTGTCCGGATTGTGTCATCCAATTTGACAAAATTTGCAACATTAACACTTAATAAACCTGATATAGATCTGTATAAATGATTCTTGTAAAACAGTAGAGGTCTGGGATATGCTTGTTCATTATGAGATGTTACATCAAAAGTATTGTTGAATATCCTTTTAACGATCCTCAGCTCTCTCCTTGATGCATTATTGATGTGGTCCAATTCCATCTCCATTTCACGTATAATTTGAGTTTACAGCGAAAATTAATAGCAGCCAATACTACAAACCTGTTTGGAATTTAACAATTGACACGGCCACGGCGTTGTCACACGTTGACACCCCGCGGTCGTGTCAGCTCCTTCTCAGCCACCGCTTAACTGTAAACCGGACCGTCACACACACGCGTTATCGCCGTGGTGTAAAGTCCAACAAATGCCTAGCGTCGTATACCCCGCCGCAATAATACGTCGAGTCAGTCATCTTCGTGACACCTAACATTTTGGTCAAATCGCCACCGCAAACTCGGTCATCTGTATTTTTATTGTGTTACGATTAGTATTGTTACGATTATTATCTTTGGTTCGCACTCGATTTGTTTTGTTTTTTTTTCGGTGTTATAATTCTTGTGTTTTCTTAATAAACGGCTTGACGCCCTTAGAAAACTAGTTTTTCTCATTTATTTTTGGTTTAACACCACCTTCTATCAACTCTATCAACTGGCTCCCCGGCATAGGATCAAAACCGGATAACTTTTGAATAAGGTAAGAAAATACTGCTGACATTTTATATTAATTACATAAATTTTGAATTTTATTTAAAAGAGACAGCGAAATTTTCCTTACCTCCCTGTACTACGGGTATTTTTAACTTCTACTTCACTGGTGACAGCAGTGAAATTCCCACCCGGTCGTATAAATACTATCTACCTCGCGAGTAGTAGATTTCCACCTTCGGTGTATTTTTAAACACGGTAAAAGTGGATTTCTGGCGATTTCGTATTTATACATAGACGCGCACTGACGACCTTGAGTCGCACAACGCCGCGAACACAATCACTTAAGTGTTTCGATAAAACCGCTAGGCAGGTAGGGTGATCATACGCGTTATCATACCACAGCGATCGTTACATTTAATAACCGGGTCCCATAAAATCGTTTGTATTATTATTTCCGACCTCCACAATCATTATACGACTTCTATCGTAATAATCGCATTTCCATATACTATTTAGTATCATAGTGCTATAGCATACCACTATCAACGCAATACCACAATATTATTGCAATCACAACTACAATAATAACAACAATAATAATACAAACGGCCGACATTGTTGACGTTCATACGCGAACACACAGTGCGTATTCTCGCAATAGGCGATATCGTATTTCTAAATAACAAAAACAAATAAGCGCGTGCGTTTCTTTTATTTATTTTTGTTTATTTTCGATAAATACGTAAGGAACGTTCACTATGACCGGTAAAACTCTCGCTCAAATGAACCGTCGGGAATTATTGCGCGAATGCGCTTATAGGCAGTTAAACGGCCCCACGACTAAAAGCGATATGCTGGCAGTCTTGGAGAATAGTTTACGCAGTGAGGGGCTAGACCCATCGAACGCGATTCTGCCCGAACGCCCGCCGCTTCATTACGAGACGCTCTCGACAGAACGCGAGTCTCAGGTCGACGAAGTCCCCGCGTTATGCCGGACCGTCGATCCAACCACATACGCGGACCGACCGGTCAACCTGGCGCGAGAGGACCCTGAAGAGGAATCTCTACACGAGTTCTCTCTGGCAACCGGCCGTCCTAACGGTAGTGGGAACGCAGCGTATACCGATGACTTATATACGGTGCGTTCAATATCTCACGCAACGGAGGAGATAGGCGCAGTAAGACAAAGTTTACGCGATATATCTCTTAATACACGTATGGATGCGCGCATGTCTGAAGTGGAGAGAGCACTGTCTCGCATTACGCAAGAAATACGATCTCTTTCACAAACGATTGTAAGCCGCGATACACACAACGAGACTATACGTAATCCGTTCGCCACCGCACAGATGACGCGAGAAACGACAGAAACAAACCGTTCTACTTACGCGCGTCTGTCCGAACCGAGCCGCGTAACTTTTGGGCCCAGCAACACGACTCAAAATGACGCGGTCCTACAGCAGCGCCTGACTGAAATCGAGGAGCGCGAAGCGCTTAACCTACAGCGATTAGCCAGTCAGACTCCGCGCACGTCACCATCGCTTCTTCGAGCGAACACGCACGACGCGGTTTACAACGTAGACGCGCGCCCACACCAACCGGGGCACTTCGCGACGAACACGTTCGCGCCACCGACACGCGATTTGTCCCCATCATCATCGACCCGTTCGCTCACGCACACGGCGATCGGGCCACTTAATTATTCGCCTATTGTACGACCCCCTTCCCCCGAGTTTACGGGAAAATATGAGGAGGACCCACGCGAGTTTCTAGAACAGGTAGAAAACCTATTGGCCCAAGCAGGCATAGATCGCGATTTATGGGTAAAAACGGGCGTACAATTTTTAAAGGGCATGGCGTTAACTTGGTGGGAAACCATCAAGTTAAACAACATGTCCTGGCGACAATTTGCGAGGGAATTTCTCACGACGTTCGATAACAACAGCATACAAGCTGAATTAGAAAACGAACTCATGACGACGCAACAGGGGCCACATCAGCGCATGACTGAATTTATCATAAATAAACAACGTCTAGCGATGCGCGCTCGCCCCAGTTGCTCTGAGCAGCACATTGTAGATCGGGTAGTCAGTCTGTTACGTAACGAATATTACGGTAACGTAAGAATGCGATGTCCGCGTACCTTAGATGACTTACGCGTAATCGCGAACGATCTAGACCGACCGATACGTACGGGCAGACTTATTAATAACGCTAATCCGTACGTGGCTGCCATATCACCCTCGCAGCAACCGCAAAGAACGCGACCACGGCCAAACGCACCGCCCGATCCGCGTCCCCCCCGACCCTGTCGCTTTTGCGGAGCCGATCACTGGCAAAGCGAATGTCCTAACAGACCGACAGTGCCGGGAAACGGACAACAGCCACGGAGAAACTAGTCCATTCTCCGGGCTCACAAACGCAATTCCGCTCAAAACATCATCGCACTAATCAGCGCGCCGACCAAACCGCCCGTTCAGTCAACTCGGGTAGCAAAAACGGATGCGCTTCCTGCGAACAAAATGATTCTATTTTGAATAATCTTATGCACACTTCTTCCACACCAACTTCACCAACACCCCTACAGCCCCACTGTCATTATAGTGGGCACGCTGTAGCACCACATCTCACCACCATCACACCCCTCATCCACAATGAGGACCATAAGATTATTCGAAATACTTGTCACGCGTTCGTAGACTTAATG